ATGGGCGCCACCAGAGAGGATAAGAGGGGAAATTATGGTTATTGCACAAAATTGCAGCCCCGGCCTTCTCCGTTCCCTAACTGCTAAGAGGCGAGCTGAAAAGCTGTGAAATTAGGCCCTCCGGCCCCTCTGGCGAGGAAAGAGCTGTCTGTGATTTTCTCTCTCCCAGAATCGCCCACCTTGCTGGCTCCGGGCCATCTGGCCAAGTGGTTGCCCACCCGCAGGTTCATCACCCAGGGCACAGGGCCAGGTCCTGTGGGGCTGGGAGGCTGAGTGAGCACTGCTGAAGGCTGGCTCTGCAGGACAGAATGTCCCTCTGGGCAAGAAAGGACAGTGACGGGGAAACTGAGGCCCTGAGGGAAAAAGCAGACAGAACTGGGACTGGGTCTCAGCATCCTACTGGGCCCCAGGACGTCTTTGCGGCACCTGATCTGAGTCTCCTAGTCAGTCTGCCCAAGAGGCAGCAGCCCTGGGGCCCAGTTTTCCCATCCTTGCTCGACAGACCCATGGCTTTAGGTTCCCCTTGGGGCTTCTGGGTCCTCACTCAGAATCTGGGAAACATCTAGGGAGGCTGGATGCAGGAATGAGTGAGTGGCTTCCAGAGAGCTATCTCGGTGTCCAGAGCCTGGCTGGACCTCGGTGTCCTGATGTGTGAGTTAGAGGGAGCTGACTGGGAGACCACTGATCCCGAACCCCTCCATGCTGAGGCCCTAACAGCCTGCCTACAAACCATGGGCACGGAGAATCCAATGTGCCTCTTCTTCTCTCTCAGTCCTAGCACTATGCCTAACACACACTTCTGGAACCATCTCTGGTGCCCTGGCTGATGCACTCATCTCTGATCTTCTGAAATGGTGGGGGGTTGTGGGGAGAGTGGCCTACCTGATGATCTAACAGTACCACCCTCTCTTGCCTCTGGGGACTGCAGGTCCACTGTGCAGTCCAGCTGCCTAAGACTGACGGTCTTTCCAATCGACTCCGCATCTTCTTCACAGGCCTGACAAGCCAGGTGCACCCGTTTCGCATGTGACTTCTGTGTAGGGTCTTCGAGGGAAGCAGCAGTGAGCGCATCAAATCATCATCTCGTCCTGGGAAACGTGGAAGCTTGGCCCAATGAGGGCGGTGGGGAGGAGGGCGGTGCAGCGAAACAGTGGCCCTCCCACATGCCATCCTGCGTCTCGAAGCTCTGCTTACTCATCAGAAAAGCGTTGTTGTGTGCAGCGGCAAAGTCTCATGAATTTCCAGGGAATGACACCAACATGGCATTGGCTTCTTTAGGGCGTGAGTTTTCCAGGAATTCTTGCTAGCTGATCCCTTGCCTCCACACTTCAACTACAGAGCAGTCAGTCTCTGGGAGACAGTCTTCCTGGCCATGTCCACACGGTGTAAGTGGTGATACGAGACGCTCAGAATCGCCCCCGACCTAGAGGCTTCCGGGTCAACAAGTCCAAATCCATCCTGGGCGTCTTCGCCTCCAGGGGTTAAGCTGCCCTTCACGTCAACCATGCAGGCGAGGCACCTAACCACGGCCTTCTGGTGGTGTCTAAGCAAGTCAATGTCCTTGGCCAATGTGATTTTGTTGCCATCTCTTTCCAGCTCAGTGGACAGTCTAGTGCCAATCAAGCAGACAAGGGTACCCCAAAAGACAAGGGGACACAGGGCAGGGCTTCCACCCCAAACACGGTTGGCACAGGAGAAGCCAGCGTCCATGATCCTGTGAACCTGGGACCTCTCTTGCTGCTCGCTGTCTCTTTTTGCTTTTCAATGGTCTGGCTCCATCTTGGTCCCAAGTTCAACGGACTTCCATTGCTGGAAGGAGGCAACTGGCTCTGACTAGCCTCGAGGAAGCGGCTCCATGCCGGGCTGGCGAGTGGGTGTTTAGCACCTCGTGCTCGGTGAGGAGCTAAGCCGACAAAACAAGCTTGGGTTACATTCCAGGGTGCAGCCAACTTGGCAGTCCCGGGGGTCAAGACTGGTCATTGGCCAGTCATGAGTCCAGCACAACGCAATGGAATGAAGGCAGTGAGTCACTGGGCTTTGTACTGTTCTGGCGGGCCGTTCCCTCCAGCCATGGTCTTAAGGTTCTTCTCCAACCCGGTGTCCCCTCTCCTGATGTGACTGGGACCCATCCTTCCTGGGGGTGGTCAAATGCCACCTCTGCTGCAGGCTGCATGGAGGCGAACAAAGCCTCCTCTTGCTCTCCAGTCTCGAGTCAGCCTCTGCCACGCACAGCTTCACACAAGCAAGTTCATGTTCCCAAGACCTTCTCATTGGTTCTGGAGGGCTGAGTTTCATCAGAGGCTGGCGGCGAAGGTCTGAGCCATGGGACATCGAAGTGGCCTGTAGTTCTGGACACACTTGAACTTCACCAGCTGCTGGAGCTGAAGCCCTGACTCCTTCTAGATGTCCAAGATTTGCTGATGGCTAAGGCTGAGAGGTCAGGACTCTGGACCATCAGAGGGGCCCTCGTCTTTAATGGGCACTGGAAGTTCACCAGAGGCTGTAGGTCTGGCTCTGGAATATCAAGGGCAACCCTCACTCTGGATACCTGAGCATCATCCGATGTTGAAACTTCAGTCCTAGCTATAGCACATGAAGAGGAAACCTTGGCTCTAGACCCATGATCTTTGCCAGAAGCTGATGCTGAAGTTCAAGATCTAGAACACCAAGAAGAAAGCCTCCCTGTGGACATCTGAATGGTGTCAGATGTCAGGGTTGAAGTCTTGACTCTGGAAGATCAAGGGGACCCTGCTCTGGACAACTGAGCTTCTTCATCAGAGCCTAGAGCTGAGGTTCAGGTTCTAGAACATCAGAGCTGCCCCTCAGCCTGAGTATCGTGAGCATCATCAGATGCGGAAAAGAGGGAACCATCTTTCTGGACTGCTGAGCTTTGTCAGAGGCTGAAGCTAAAGTCCCGACTCTAGAGAATCAAGTGAAATGTCTCATTCTGGATATCTGATCATTGTCAGGGGCCAAGGCTGCAACCTGGGCTCTTATGGACAACGGTAAGTCATCAAAGGCAGGAGCCGAGGTCTGGACTCTGGAACATCAGGGCTGACCCTCACGCAGCCCAGGCACTGGAGGAGCATCAGATGCGGAAGCTGAGGTCCGAGTTCTAGAACATCAACAGGGAAGCCTCTCTCTGGAGGTCTGAAGGTCATCAAAGACCAAGGGCGTGGTCCTGACCCTGGAACATCAAAAGGACCATGAGGCTTCTGTAGCAGAGGCTGGAGCTGTGGAGCACATCACTGATGAGATTACGATTGTGTCACCCGTGGTGCACACTGTGGCTCGGGAACACCAGTGATGATCTTCAGGAGAGACACTTGAGGGTTGCCAGACGCTGAAGCTAACATCCAGCATCAGGACACCGAGAACACACCCTCATTCTATAGTTCTGAACTGTGCCCGCGGCTGAAGCTGAAGGCCCAGCTCTAGAACATCAAGAGGAAAGCCTCCTTCTGGATGTTTGAACTTTGTCAGTGGTCAGAGCTGAGGTCCTGACTCTAGAACATCAAGATGCCCTTCCTGTGGGCATGGCAGTGGTACTCAAGTTCAGTCCCAGCTCTGGAACATAACATGGGATGGGGACCACCTTCTCCTGAATTCTTGAACTGCATTGGCGGCTGAAGCTGGAGTCTTGGCCCTGGAACATCAAGACCCTCATCTGGAGATCTGAGCTTCATCAGAGACTGGAGCTGAGGTTTCAGTTCAGGAACGTCAAAGGAGGCTCCCCATAGACCCTGGAGAGCTTCCTCAGCGGCTAGACAGAGGTCTTAACTCTGGAACATGAACGAGACCCTCAGTCTAGATGCCTGAGATCCATCAGCAGCTGGGGCTGCTAGCCACATCAGACCAGGATGTCCTGGGACGTAGGGCACGCTTGGCTGGGTCTGGGCTCATCTTGGTTGGGTTTCCTGTGGATGCCCTCTTCTCGTGTCACTGCCCCTTGGCTACTTTCAGTGCCATCGGTGCCGTTGCCGTGGCCATCTCGATCAGAGGCTGGGCTCCGCGCTCTGGGGCTGAGTTGTGGTCCTCATCTCCCAAGGTGGTGGCTTGCTTTTCTCTCAGCGAAGAAGGAAGGTGACGCTCCACCCAGCGTGCTCACAGCTGGCCTCACCTCCAGTCCTCCTGAGGCACCCCCCTGGGAGGAGGAGGAGGAGGACGAGGACGAGGAGGAAGGGGGAAGCAGAGAGGGCAAGTAGGAGGAGGAGGCAGTGGTGGTGGTGATGACGGTGGTGGTCGTCAGCCCTTCCTTGATGAGGGCTGTCCATCTCCTCTGCTCCGGCAAAACAAGTTGCTGTGGCTCCAGAAATCTATCTAGACCCCACCCCACGTCACTCCCTGCTCCCCACTAGCTCCAGCCAGGGCTGCTTACCAACAGCCTGACCACCCTCTGCCTGGCCAGGTGGGTAAGAGCAATGTCACATAGGTCTGAAGTCCCAAGATGCTGGGCAGAGGGTGGGTCCAAGGCACCACCTCTGTGCCCACCTAGGTCCCTCAGAGAAGAAGTGGTCAGCAAATAGGCAACTGAATGGACATTGGCCCAGGATCCCAGCCAGGCAAGAGTCCTAGGCCGTCCCCGGCACCCCAGCACAAGCATGACCGGTGCCAGGCCCACTCCTGACACACCTTGGGGAATGTGGGAGAGGAAGGCAGCCCCGAGGGAACTTTCCCTCTGGGTATCCAAAGCCAGATCTTCTCCACCTTCTATTTTCTGGGAGGAAACTGGATCCTAAGACCATGGGGCCATCAGGATTAGTTCATCCACACAGGTCTTAACCTCAGACCCTCCTGAGCTCGGCTTGGCCTGATGGGTTGGCATGATTTGGGGTTTGGGGTTTTTTTTTGAGGGGGTGAGCTGGCCCCCCTTATCTTTCCACACATCCCTCTGACCTTCCCATGGCCTGAGCCACCACCCCAGGTGATGAAAGTCTCACCAGGGAGATAGGACACCCAACACTCACTCTCATCATATGAGCAGCCGCACCCACCACTGGTTTTGTTAAGGCAAGAAACACATTTATTGAGAGCAAGCCCCGTGCCAAGGCAGGCCGGGGAGTTTCCCGAGCCATCCGGTCCCTCACAACAACCCTGTGAGGTAGGTGTCCTGACGGTCCACAAGGGCAGACCCTGCACAGTCAGCAGTTCCCCCAAGGTCTCAGGTCCCCCAAGTCAGGGGCCAGGGCTCACACTGCCCACGTGTCTGACCCAGGGGTCAGACCAGTTCATCAGTCTGAAGGGAGAGCTGAAGAGAGGCCAGGGCGGGCACACTCTCTGCGCAGGGGTGGCCCAGTTCCAGAGCCGTGAGTCTTTGGGTCCACCTGTCCATGGCTGTGGAAGCTGAGAGAGACACAGGTGCAGATGAAGACCACCTGCTCCTGGCCTCTGAGTGGGAGGGGCAGGGGTGGGGTGGGGGGCGGGCAGAGTCCTTTCCACGGAAGAAACCAGGGCAGTGACCAGCCATTGTAGGGAGGGGGAGGCACCCAGTCACCAGTTCTTGCCCCACCTACCTAGCTCATCTCAACACAAGGTGTCCCACATGTTGCCCCCACCTCCACCTCTACCTCCCCACCCCACCCCACCCCATCTACAGGCTTCCAGAAACATCACTCTAGGCCTGCATCCATCTCTCTCCCAACCTGGTCACCCCGGGCTTACCTCACCTAATGACTCTAGATCATTCTAGAAACTTTGGGCTTTTCTAAAAATGACCCCCAGCCGATCCACAGCTGACCAGTCTCCCGTTTTTACTAAAAATATCTCCTCCTCCTGGTTTTCTCAAACTTGGCTCCACGATTCTCACTTCTGCTCCAACCTCTTCCACTTTTACCTACCCATTGAATCTCGGGCCTGAACAAAGCGAGCGCTGCCCCCCAGCTCTGTCTCCTGGAGCTGGCTGGGGGGACCTGCTCTGTTGCTCCCACCCTTGCCAATAACCCCCTGGACATGGTACTCTCTTGACCCTAAGCCCCTGGAGAGGGCACCAAGAGGGTGAGGAGGGCAGGTGTAGACCAAGTCACAAATAGCGTCACAGGAAGAATCTCACTGAGCCCCACAACAACTACAGTAGGTAGGTGGGACTATCTCCACGTTACAGGTATGGGTGGGGGGCCCAACTCAGACTTGAACGCTCACATGCTAAGCTGTGGGTGTCCAGCACCCTCACCACTGGCCTTCGTGGGGCTTGGTTTCTATATCCATCTGTACAGACTGGATAAAGGCTTACCAACAGCAACCTTCAGGCTAGAACCCAAATCTGCAGAACCTCAAAGACACCCCCCACACCCCGCCGCCTTGGGTTTGTCCTTCACATGTGGAGGGAAAAACCAAGATCTAAAGTCCAAGTGACCCCAGTTGGTTTCCCGGCCCCAAAGTCACACCCAGATCTCACAAATTACTTCCTGCTAGTGAGATCCAGCTGCCACTGATCTTCAGCTTACTCTTCTGCAAAATGCGTCCCCAGCCCACGACCCACCCAACAAGCTAAGCAAGGAGCAGAAGGCCTATGAGCCCCAGGGAACTCGCTGTCAGACCCACGACAGGTACTAAAAGCAATGGAAAGGAACAATGGGGACCTCCAGCTTGGGGCCAGAGGGAGGAGGAGGCATTGTAGCTCACCTGCCCCACTAAAAAGATTCTCCTGCCTTCGCATCATCCCCACAGTTCTTCCCTGGCTCGCACACAGCTTTCCTGAGCCCCCCCCTCTGCCCCCCGCACACAGGGGGAACCCAAAGCAAAGCTACCAGCAGCCTGAGATGGTGGGAGAGAGAGCGCAGGCCTCCAAGGGAAAGAAGCCACTACTCATAAATCAACAAATATTTACCCTGGCCTGCCTTGCTAAGCACTTTTTGAATGCTCCACCCATGAGCATGCTACAGGGCCCATTGACTACTGGAAACCATCTGAGAATAAAATCAGAGCCACCTTTTTATTCAGTTACAACCCCCAACAGAAGAGAATGCCCAGTTAGGACTCCCAGGGGTACCATAGGATCCTTACATCCTCACTACAACCCTGTGAGGTAGGCCTCCCAGTGGCACATGGCTTGAAGAAAAGGAACCTGAGGGTCAGAGAGGTGAAATGGCAGGCCCAACACTGGGCAATGAAATTAGCAAGTGCCCCCCCAGGGCCTGACAGATTCTAAAGGCGGTGCTCTAACACGGATCAGGTAAAGTTCCATTGCAAGGGCGCCGGAGACAAGAATTCTGGCTTTACAAGGGCACAAGCCAGACACAACTCCTTAAGAATACAATACAATTATTAACAGGTTAAATTTTGACTAAAAATACAATCTCTTAGTAACAGTTATAAATATCAATGCTTGCATTTATTTGGTTACAGTTTTATCATCCATTTATCTATCCATCCATCCATCCATTCAACCAACCAGCCAGCCAGCCAGCCAGCCAGCCAGCCAGCCAGCCAGCCAACCATCCATCCATCCATCCATGTGTCAAGCACATT